GCCTGACAAAGGGTATTTTTACCTGAAAGCTTGCAAAGAAGAATTTTTTCAACTATTTGAGTTGGTCTAATAAAAGAGATCAGATTTACCCAAATAACCTTGTCTGTGGAAACTATATTAACCAACTAGCAAACCTGTCAAAGGGTTCCCTCTTCCACATTCAAAAATTCAGATTTCTGTAGGTACTAGTCCTAGAACAGCTGCAAACCTGAGTAGCAGAAGTTAAGTTTACAACTCCCACTTTTCTAGAAGCTGAATTCCAGCTTGGAGGTCACTATTCAGCAGATGTGCTGGATCCCAATAGATATAAAGCACCTGTGATTGTCATCTAGCTCAGCTGTCTGCTTTTTGGCTGTAACATCAGAGAACTGAAGCTGCAACATATTTCACTTCTAGAGATGGACCCTCTGGGGTTGTCTGAGGCAGATGGAGGGAAGCTGACCTTGCCAGGATTCTAGCTGACCAGTTTTAGAGATAGGTAGGATAGGGCTTCTACACTGGCCTCTTTCACTAGCATCAAATTTACGTAAAAAAAAATGTAGTAGGAAGGGAGATTCTTAACAGGTGCTGACTCAGACCATATTTTTCTGTGTTAAAAGGAAATAAATAGGTCTTTAAGACCAGAAGACTTTGGTGGGCAGTCAGGTTTTGTCTAGATAATGGGGGGGGGCTAGGTACTGCTCTCTAAAACTTGTGCTCTTTAGTTGCTGCTGGATTTTTTCCTTAACATTGTTTGGGGAGTGAGTTAGTAGGAAATAATGAGGTGTTGGGTAAAGAGAAGCAGGAGAGGCACTGCAAATAAAAATCTGAAAACAAATTGTCTGATTCTCAACTTTCCTTTGCAGATTACCAGATTAAAAATTGACCGAAATCCTTTTGCTAAAGGATTCAGAGATTCTGGGAGAAACAGGTAAGAAGAATTTATTTATCTTATGGATTTGGTGGTTAAAACAATAGAGGCCTTGGTCCCCAACAAGGGCTACAAGGTGTTACTCAAACAGAAGTCAACCTAATCACCTTCATACTTTTAATATCTCTAAAATAGTATTATTATTTTTAAATAATTGGATTTTTGTAGCAGATAGGAAAGTAAGGCTGGAAGAGATGTTCACGGGGCTGACCCTAGATGACCTTGTGACAAGTTGGGATCATCCTTGACTAAGGCATCCCAGACAAGTATCTATTGAACTGGCTTCTGAAATTTTTCAGTCATCCTATTCAAATGCTTGACCATCCTTTTAACCACCAACCTAAATTTCCTTTGCTGAAGCTTTAGGGCATTGCTCCTAGCTGTATCCCCTACAGCTACAGAGAAAAACCGATCTCCAGCCAGCTTCTCTATAATCACCCTTCAGGTATTTTGAACACTATTATCCAATTCCCCCTCAATCTTCTCTTCTCCAGACTAATTAACCATAGCTCTTCCAGCCTTTCCTTGTAAGTCATGCTCCATGGGCCTCTAATAATTCTTGTCACTCCCTGCTGGACTGTCTCCAATCTGTCCGTATCCTTCTTGAAGTGTGGGGCCCAAAACTGGATACATTACTTCAGGTAAGACCTCACCAGTGCTGAGTAAAGCAAAAGAATCACTTCCCTGGATTTGCAAGTGACACTCTTGCTAATATAGCCCAGGTGTTTTTTGCAACAGTAACACACTGTTGGCTCCTATTCAGTTTAATGTCCACAGTAACCGAGCTCCTCCTTCTCTGGAGTACTGTAGCCTAGCTAGTCATTCCCTACTCTGTATTTGTGCATGAAATTATTTTGTCCCAAGTGCAGGACTTTGCATGATGTCCTTCTGAGTTTCATCTGGTTGATTGTGGACCATTTTTCTGGTCTATCCAAGTCATTCTGGATCCTAGCTCTACTCTCCAGAGTGTCTTTCCTTATGTTTCACTCATTGCTCCGTCATATTCCTTTCTATTACACTTTTCTATGTCTTGTTAAGTCCCAGGAAAGTGTTTTGCTTGGCTAATACAGATTTTCAGTAGATGGAAATAGCTATAGACTAGTTATCAGAGAAATCAGGAACAGCTGCTTTTCTTTTCTGGGAAAGGTCTTTTATGTACTGGTGGTGTCAGCTGAAAACGTTGTTCAGGTTAGCCAGACTAAACAGATCTAGTTCTTTCAGTGCCTTCTCAGAAATCAGTTCCGTTCTGTTGCTCTTCAGTGAATTCCCTCCAGTTCATAAATGTTCTTCTGGTACTATAGTGCAGAACTCTATGAAATCTTCTTGGTCAGGCTTTGTGACATTATGCCCCAAACTGCAGCTACACATCTTGCTACTGTATTAGATTTCAAACTCCCATATAATTTTCTGTTCACTGTTTCTTTTGTGTCTTTCTGTTTCACTGCTTGCAAGAATAATTTTTTTGTCCATTTTTTTTTTTTTTATATAAAGCCAAAAAAATATTTTCCTTGAAGTATATTTTCCCAAGTAAGTCTTAGTTTGTATTTTCTATGAAATCTCTCTAGATTCTTTTGCATTATCTTTCTCTCTTTCTCTAGATTTTGCAACACATTTCTACTTAGTATCATCTACAAAGTGCATTGTTCTGTTTTTCATTCTAAGGTTTTTTTTTTTTTTT